CATAAGAAATAGAAAGTTAGCTCCGTGCTGGAGCATGGAACAGATGAGTGTGGCAATGCCCACCTGGTTATATACAACCTTGGCCATTTATTTCCAAACTGCTGACTCTCCAGTCACTGTTCCACAAGTTTGGCTATTGTCTCTGAAACACAGCACTGTATTGGTTTTAGATTACCCTAACAACTGCTCCATCTCTGACATGTGTGTTTGTGGTTTTGAGGTGTTTGGTGCACTCTGGGTTAACACTTTGTTAAACTTTGTACACAGTACAGCGTGGTTCTGAAAAGAAGATCAAAATATTCTGTGTGACTTGTTTTGATACTGGTTTGCATCCTCTTTGAGGTTTATAGTGTTAATTTTTTTTTTCAAGAATATATACTTTGCAATAGATTTTAGCCACATTGCCTTCTGTTTTGTCTAGTGATCAATCAATGTCTATCACTGCTACACAAAAATGTTGGTTCTTTCATAGTCAACCTACTGATAGTAGGACCACACCCCCTTTACTATATTTATTTAAGTACATTGAGTGTAGTTTAATGGAATCTTTTTATAAATTGTGTGTTCAAAATCAGGAGTTTGTAACTGTCTCCTTTTTTTCTTCTACAGTAAATGGAGCAGACAGATATAACCTGAGTTGGAGAATAATAAGTAATGTGGGGGTTAACAAAGTCTGAAATGACTGAAAAAGTCTATGTTATGCAAGTCCTAAGAGAGAATCCTTATGCCTTGTTAAATCCAGTACACTTCGTGCAGCACTTCTTGGAGACTGCTGAGATCTCTATAATGGCAGACAAGCATAGCAGGTTGTGCAGACTAAGTGTAGTGAATATTAAACATTTATTAACCACATATCACTCATTCAATTTTCAATGGTCCCGTTGGTTACAGAACCCAAACTGCTTTGTAAAATCTTGATACGTCAATCTTTACTTTTAACATTTAGACCCCTACACCTAGACTGGTGCACTTTTCCCCTTCCCCTCCTCCTTCCTCCTTCCCATTACTATTTACACTCCTTTCCCTCACCCCTCCCCCCACATTGTAACCTGCTCACAGTAACACGGTTCAGATCTAGCATAACGTATTTCTCATGAATATGCATCACAACTATATACAATCCCCAGCCAATTGGTGGGGATTCTATAACAAAATAATATGTATTGTTATTCCTACTATGAACCGTATTGAATTACTTTGTTATGTCAAAACCTGTTAATAAAAACTATTAAACATAAACATTTATTAAAAAAGAGACAATTGGCAACTCACATGGATTAAATTAAAATATGCTTACCATAACTCATGGTTGGAAGTCTCGACTGGACAAGGCACCAGCACGCTGTCAGAATAGACACACAGGATATGGCAAAGGTATCACCTGTAATGCCTGAGAGAACACCATGAGGGTGCCAATCTAAGCATAGTATGATCAGATGGTGAATATAACACACAATAATTGGAAACTCGCTCAGAAAGGATGAGAATCGCATGTATATTTATTAATGGTGATGGTGGTAATGAATCAGTTTGCTGCTGTAACAGTCCAGGATCACAAGGCTTGTCATTTATTACTTGCGAGGCTTATCCTTTTTAAGTGATTTTCCAATTATTGTGTGCTATGTTAAACATCTATTCATACTCTACTTAGATTGGCACCCTTTGGTGTTCTATCAGCCATTACAGGTGCTACCGCTGCCATATGCTGTGAATCTGTTTTGACAGCATCCTGATGTCCTGTCCAGTCGAAACATCTAACCATGATACGCATATTTTAATTTATTCTATATGAGTTGCCAATTGTCTCTTTTTTAATAAATGTTTAATATCCACTGCACTTAGTCTGCCCACTCTGCTGTGTTTGTCTCATCAGCACCACTACATGTATAAAAAACTTTCTTGAAATGATGCCACTAAAGCTGAACTGCACTGAACTGCACAGGTCATCTAGTCTTAACAGAGACCTGACCCTTAAAGCCAGGCATCATGCCATAATTATGAGTGCTGAAGGCAGCTAAAAGCTGTCTATAAGATATATAATTGACAATGATGAGTAAAGAGATATCATCTTTGTGCTATTTATGTGCCCATCACATTTTTTGTAAGACTTCTGGATAGGAACTATAAGCAGTGCTGGAATTCCCTTTTCCATGAAGAAAAGATTTCAACTTGGTAATATTCTCCATCATGTTGGAAAGATTTAGGATGTTTCATATATATGTACTTGTAACTGTTCAACACGTAAGTTTTAGGCTACACAACTGTGATTGGAATGTACCAGGTTGTTATTGGAAGTCTTTCTAGTATTTCTTAGAAGTCACGTGAATTGAGTATGCATTTGCTCTTTCATGCTAACATTAGACAAATGCAATTTCAAACAAATAAAAATGTATTTATTTGCCTATTAAAGCTATTTGTGTATTTACCTTTTAAAGCTTTATGCTTGTTTTACTTATTATTAGAGCCTAAGGTCAAATATTGTCTGTCAGCTTGAGGTGCATGTATGTTATGTCCTCACATAGGACCATGATGGTGCTCTATCATAAGGAACACTAGTCATCCCCTTTTCACAACTCATGTAAATTACTGTTATTATTATTATTATTATTATTATTATTATTACTATGCTCATGTATCAGCTTCTCCTGAACCCATGTCTGCTTAAGGCTAAAAAAAGTGGAATGAAAACTTACAAGAAAGACGTAACCTGTGTTGATGCATTTACCGCTTTAGTACTGGAGGTCCTGTTGTGAAATTGTTTTTTCCTTTTCAATGTACTGTATCTATGGGTACTAGTAGCAATGATATTCTTTGACGAAAATACAAAAGTAACCAAAATTCTTTTAAGTCCCTATGAGAGTAAAAATATCCTAGATACTGAAGCTGTTACTGCATTTATTGTAAACTCTGTAAAGGTTTACTGCTTGGAACAAAAAGAACAACCTAAACATTAAACATAAACTATAGACACCAGTAAACCTGCTGAGAGTTCTCTTAAAATAACATTGTTAAATACATTGAACACAAGCAGTATGAGAAAAAAATAAGTCACTTTCAAATTCAACATGTTTTATATATTAACCACATCAAAACCAGACTGTTTCACTCTCTTTCAGTCCATGGCATTTTTTTAGTTTTCAGTTATGTCACACTTTGAATGACAATTACTCGGTCATCATTGAACTCAAATGAATTTTACACAATTTTTCAGATAAAGATTTATTTTGGTGGTATTTAATCATGACTTGGTGTTTTACTTTTTACTATATAAACAATAAAGACCAACATTTTTAAAATATACAGTAAATTATTTTTCTTAGTCTCTGTTATAAACTTTGCAAATAAATATTCTTTTTCAATAAATTTAGCCCATAATGTATTCGGCTACATTTTGTTGTTGAAAAAACAAATCAGTATATACTATTAGTTGTGTGAAAGTTATAGAGTACCTATTGTACATATATTTGAAAATTAATCAGTCCTGACTGCCTATCTCATTTCTTGAGGCTCTAAAATGCCAAGACAGTATAAATTCCCCCAACATGATCCTTTTTTAGAAAGTAAAAAGTCCAAGGTATTCAGTCATGTTGAGTGTTTTGAAGTTGTAGTTTTTTTTTGTCACAGTTTTTTTTTTAAATTAAGAACTTAAATGATTCATTTTTTCACAACATTGTAATTTTTACAAGTTATCAGTATTTAAGGAGGATTAATTATGAATCTACATTTTTACAGAAAGTTTTCAATTAATAAGATATTTAATGCACAGCACAGGAATACTTATAATTACACTTAAAAGCACATTTTGCTACTCCTCCTGATATCACGGGTGTGAGACATTTTCACAAGCCACATAGAAGGGACCAAATTCCAAGCAGCTCCATCAGAAATTCTAGGGGCATAAATTATACATCTAATTTCCTGACTACCTATCACAGACTTTTTGGAGGCCCTGGAGTACCAAGACAGTATAAATACCCACAAAATGACCACATTTTGGACAGCAAACATCTTGAGGTATTTCCTAAGAGGCATGGAGAGTCTTCTGAATACTTCATTTTTTGCCATGTTTTTGGAAAATACAGAATGAAATTGTATTTTTATTTACACAAAGTTGTCAATTAATATTTTTTTTCCAATGTGTAGCATAGGTATTCTTAGAATAACACCCTAAAACATATGCTGCAGATCCTCTTGAACACAGTGATACCAGATGTGAGACTTTTTCACAGTCTAGCCACATAGTTTCCCTGTGTAAGGATGCTATGGTATGGCATGCAATGGCATAATTTTCCTATGTACCAATCTATTTTGTATGTGTTTATGTATTTAAAAGTTATGTATAATTATATAGTTAAGAAAATATCATAATATATGTTTTTATAGTTAAGTCACACCTCTGTAAATCTCAATTGAAGGTCCTGAGGAAGCACACATGTGAAACGCATTGACCTCATTTGGATTACTGGAATTGAAAAGTGTTTTTTACTTGAGTAATGATTTGTAAAGCTGAAAGATGACCTAAGCTTGTTTTTAATGAGTTTTGTTAGTTTACCTTTTTATATATGTAATAAAAATTGATTTTATTGAAACAAGTGATGTGTTCCCTAGTACCAATAAAGTCTATCACTTAACTTTTTGATCTATCGCTATATATTTTGGGATGTTGGTAGAAAGGAGAAGCAGCGATACTTTATTATAGATGGTTGGATGATCTAATGCTCTAGTAGCCAGTGTAGCCAGCCATGGTCTCTGATTACTATAATATCACCATAGTGACAATAAACTTGATCTGGTGACAGTATGTAAAAATGTAATTGGCCCTGTACCCCATTCTGTGATTCGTTGTGTCTGCTGGACACACTGATCATAATGATTATGTGAATGCAATTTCTTGACTTGGGACAAATGTTCTTATATACAGTATATAATGTCAAATTGCTTACAATGTGTTACTGTTAGTAGCAGGGGCGGACTGACCATTTGGAAACCGGGGCACTGACCGAGGGCCCGGGGTCAGTAGGGGGCCCCATGAGATGCCCCTGGTACCTTTTTCATAGTCTTTTTTGAGTTTGGGCAAGGACACAGGGGCCCCATGATCCACTATTGCCCAGGGGCCCCATGAGTTGTCAGTCCGCCCCTGGTTAGTAGTGTTATTATGGCTAAGGGTTAAGTTTGATATTATGGTGGATATTATGGTTTTAAAGTGTTAAAGTGGACATTTCAGTAGCTTTACAAGTCTGCATGTATGAATTCCTGATATGTCTCAATATACTGCAATAATATCATTTTGAAAACTTTATTTTTAAAGCCAGAGCTTTTATATCTAAAATGCAGGACATGAACTCCAGTAAATGGACTCTGCCTATGCTGAGATGCTATTGTGAGTCCCATTTTCCTCAATTACCAGACTGCAACATTTAAATTTTTCAGTAAATTACAATTTGTGAGCAGAATCAAGAACTGCAGATGCAATACACAAGGTGGGCAAGATTTTGACATCTCAGTCCAGAAAGTAGAAGCTAACTCTAGCTGACTCCTGAACAAAGATTTTGCTTTTGGATAGAAAAGCAGTTGGAGGTATTGCCAGGGACTGAGATCTCTGTAAGAGGTAACAAATGCCTGCAAGTGGTAGCCTCACACATTTCTTAGCATGCATGAGCCTAAAGGATATGTTGACCTTTAGTAGCATGTTGCATGTGTATTTAGGATGTAACATGTTACTAACACAGCACCCCCCCGCTTTCTCCCCTCACTTCTGTTGTGACAGCAGGTGGGGCTCTTCTCCCCACTGTCACATTTTGAAAACAGCACAGCTATGCATAGTTCTGCCTGCTCAGCTACATCAGTCATTCACAGGAATCTGTGAATGAATAAACTGCGAGTCCCATCTTCCATTGCAGCAGATAGACTTGTAGTTTGAACTGCAGGCACACTGATCAGCTTGCTCATAGTTCATTAACACCAGAAGAGAGCTCTAGGCAGTGTGTGCAGGAACATTACACTGCACCCACAATCCACTGATCATGGGTGCAATGCTCTGCAGCACCTGTAAAAAAAAATAATAAATGCACATTTTTTTCAGCAAAAAGATGTGATTTTTTTTTTTTTTTGAAAGGTGAACTTAGCCTTTAATGACTTCAATACTGGGCACTTCCACCTTCTTCCTGCCCAGGCCAATTTTCAGCTTTTAGCACTGTCACAATTTGACTTACAATTGCACTATCATTCAACACTGTACCCATATGAATTTTTTATCATTTTTTGAGAAAGATTGAGATTTCTTTTTGTGGTATTTAATCACCACTGGGTTTTTAAAATTTTGCTAAACAAACAAAAAAAGACCAACAATTATAAAAACATGTTTCTGCTACAAAATTTTGCAAATAAGTAATTTCTATTCTTTACTGATGTGCACTGATGAGTCTGCACTGATGGGCACTGATAGGCTGCACTGATGGGAACTTGTAAATTGCACTGATGGTAACTAATGAGGCTGTCCTGATGGGCACTGATGAGACTGCACTGGTGACCACTGATGAGGCTGCACTGATGGGCAATAATGAGGCTGCACTGATTTGTGCTGATGGGCACTGACGAGGCTGCACTTATGAGGGGGACCTGATGGACACTGATAAAGTGGCACTGATGGGCACTGACAATCTGCACTAATGGACACTGATGAGGAGGCAATAATGAGTTGGTACCGATGAGGCAGCACTGATGAACACTGATAGGTGGCACTGATGGGCACTGATAGGCGGCACTGATGGCCACTGATAGGCTGCACTGGTGGGCATTGATAACCAATGATAAGCTACACTGATAATCTTAGGCTAAACTGGTAAACTGCACTTCTGGGCACTTCTAGCCACAATAAAGCAAAAAAATGCAGCGTGGTACTATAAACTCAAATACGGTGCTACTAATATCCAATGTACATAAACGAATAGTGAAAACAAAAATTGTGCTTAGTGACAATTAGAGATGAGCGAATTATTCAAAAATTCGATTCGGCTGATTCGCCGAATTTGCGGGAGAAATTCGATTCGATGCGAATTTATTCGCCGCAAATTTAACTTATTTAAAGGGTTTCTAGGCTTCAGAGAGCCTTTATATTAGTGCAGAACACTGTACCTTTAATTTAAATGCCCTTGGAGTCTGCTGGGGAAGAGAAATAATACTGTCAGTCAGTATGACATGCAGATGAGTGCCGTCGATCTTAGAATCACCGCACACTTCGCTCATTTGGGCAGTCACGGGGCACGACGAAGAAGAAGAAGAAGAAGAAGAAGAAAGAAGAAGAATGAAATGAAGAATGAAAAGAAGAAGAATGAAAAGAGAGAAGATGAATGAAAAGAAGAATGAAAAGAAGAAAAGAAGAAAGAAGAATGAAAAGAAGAAGAAGAAGAATGAAAAGAAGAATGAACGAAAGAATGAGAAGAAGAATGAAAAGAAGAATGAGAAGAATGAAAAGAAAAGAATGAAAAGAAGAAGAAGAATGAAAAGAAGAAGAATGAAAGAAGAATGAGAAGAAGAATGAAAAGAAGAAGAAGAATGAAAAGAAGAATGAAAAGAAGAAGAAGAAGAATGAAAAGAAGAAGAAGAAGAATGAAAAGAAGAATGAAAAGAAGAAGAAGAAGAATGAAAAGAAGAAGAAGAAGAATGAAAAGAAGAGAAGAAGAATGAAAGAAGAATGAAAAAAAAGAAGAAGAATGAAAAGAAGAAGAAGAAGAATGAAAAGAAGAATGAAAAGAAGAAGAAAAAAGAATGAAATGAAAAGAAGAAGAATGGAAAGAAGAAGAATGAAAAGAAGAAGAAAAAGAATGAAAAGAAGAAGAAAAGAATGAAAAGAAGAATGAAAAGAAAAGAAGAAGAATGAAAAGAAAAGAAGAAGAAGAAGAATGAAAAGAAAAGAAGAAGAAGAAGAATGAAAAGAAGAATGAAAAGAAGAAGAAGAAGAATGAAAAAAGAAGAAGAATGAAAAGAAGAAGAAGAATGAAAAGAAGAATGAAAAGAAGAAAAAGAAGAAAAGAAGAGAAGAAGAATGAAAAGAAGAATGAGAAGAAGAAGAAAAGAAGAAGAATGAAAAGAAGAAGAAGAAGAATGAAAAGAAGAATGAAAAGAAGAAAGAAGAAGAAGAAGAATGAAAAGAAGAATGAAAAGAAGAAGAATGAAAAGAAGAATGAAAAGAAGAAGAAGAAGAATGAAAAGAAGAAGAAGAAGAATGAAAAGAAGAATGAAAAGAAGAAGAAGAAGAATGAAAAAAGAATGAAAATAAGAAGAATGAAAAAGAATGAAAATAATAAGAAGAAGAAGAAGAAAAAGAATGAATGAAAAGAAGAAGAAGAAGAATGAAAAGAAGAAGAAGAAGCATGAAAAGAAGAATGAAAAGAAGAAGAAGAAGAATGAAAAGAAGAAGAGAATGAAAAGAAGAAGAAGAAAATGAAAAGAAGAATGAAAAAAGAAGAAGAAGAATGAAAAGAAGAAGAAGAAGAATGAAAAGAAGAAGAAGAAGAATGAAAAGAAGAATGAAAAAGAATGAAAAGAAGAAGAAGAATGAAAAGAAGGAGAATGAAAGAAGAATGAAAAGAAGAAGAAGAATGAAAAGAAGAAGAAGAAGAATGAAAAGAAGAAGAATGAAAAGAAGAAGAAGAATGAAAAAAGAAGAAGAATGAAAAGAAAGAATGAAAAGAAGAAGAATGAAAAGAAAAAGAAGAATGAAAAGAAGAAATGAAAAGAAATGAAAAGAAGAAGAAGAATGAAAAGAAGAAGTATTCCAGTACAGCAAAAAGTGTATCTGCAGAGAGCTCCGCTATTTCTGACAGTTCTCTGACAGTTCTGACAGTTCATTTACAGCGGTTGAAACATTGTATCTATTTATTTCCGAATAAAAACATCTGTATCCTAAATGGAAACAAATAGATACAATGTTTCAACCGCTGTAAATGAACTGTCAGAACTGTCAGAGAACTGTCAGAAATAGCGGAGCTCTCTGCAGTGACACTTTTGCCGGCTGATCGGGGGAAAATTCGATTCGTGCATCCGAAGTTGGCTAAAATTCGGATTCGATGCGAATCAAATTTTTCCTAATATTCGAAATGAATTCCACTTCGCCAAGTTCGATTCGCTCATCTCTAGTGACAATATTATGTGCTACATCAAATATATATCAACACATACATATAAAATACCCATAGAACTGCATATACCAGTGCTAAATGAATAGGGTACACAAATACCAAATGAACCGTTCTAAATAGTGAACTGTCCCTTTAACAATCCGATATCTTCACATGTGCTTGTGAGGTATATCTCCTGTGCATCGTATTCCAAATATACCATCAACAAGTGTCCCAAAATTATACTTTTGATTGGTCCAGTGAAGCACCTTTAAAGCTGGACACATTACATTTGGATGGCTGCTTGGGATGGTATTCATGCCAGATATTACTGTCAGCTGTGTCAGCTCTACTGATCTGAGTCTTGATTAGCGTACAGTAAAGGATAGTGTTGTTTACTCTCCTTCTTTCTCCCCTCTCATCCAACCATAAAATGTCTTGTATTCTTTTCATAGAATACTGTGATTAGACAATGGGCAGTCTCATGTGTTATCTACCTCTCCTTTCACATTCTTTCCTTTCCAATCACATAATGCTTTCTATTCTGTGAAAAGTATACAAGACATTTTATGAATGGAGGGGAGAGTACACAACACTGTCTTTCACTATACAAGTGCGGGACTTCACAGCAGCAGAACTGGAAAATCAAAGCTAACAAAAATGTCTGTAATGGATACAATTAGAAGTGTAAGCATCTCCAGCAGCCATTGAAATGTGTATCAAAATGACAATCAAAATATATACATAAATAAATACATATTTTTAAAAATGGAGTTTGTGCTTTCGGGGTGAATAATAAATGTATTATAGCTATCAAATAATAAAGATGGATTATCAAATAATCCTATAGAGTTTAAAGTGTTACTAGACCCTGCATTCACTATATCTGGTCTCCTACAGTACACAACATGGAAGTGCAAATAATTTAGTAAATACAACTGCTAAATACCTTTTCTCATTAACAGTTAGAGCA